AGGAGTTTTACCAAACATTCAAAGAAGAACTAAAGCCAATCCTTCTCAGACTATTTAAAAAAATTCAAGAGGAAGGCACACTTCCAAGCTCTTTCTATGAAGCCAGCATTACCCTAATCCGAAAACCAGATAAAGACACCACAAAGAAAGAGAATTACAGGCCAATATCCCTGATGAACATAGATGCTAAAATCCTCAACAAAATTCTAGCAAACCGGATCCAGCATTACATTAGAAAGATCATACATCATGACCAGGTGGGATTTATTGCAGCAATGCAAGGCTGGTACAATATCTGCAAGTCAATAAAGGTGATACATAAACAAGTTGAGAGACAAAAATCACATAATCATATCAATTGATGCAGAAAAGGCATTTGACAAAGTCCAACACCCTTTTCTGATAAAAATGCTCAGCAAAGTGGGTATAGAAGGATCATACCTCAACATAATAAAAGCCTTATATGAAAAACTTACAGTCAACATCATACTCAATGGGCAAAAACTAAAACCATTTCCCTTAAGAACAGGAACAAGACAGGGATGCCCACTTTCACCACTCCTGTTCGACATAGTATACTGGAAGTGCTAGCCAAAGCGATATGACAAGAAGAAGGAAATAAAAGGCATCAAGATTGGAAAAGAAGTAAAATTGTCATTATTCGCAGATGACATGATACTGTACTTAGGAAACTCTAAAGACTCCATCAAAAAATTATTAGACATAATAAATTTGGCAATGTAGCACAATACAAAATTAACGCCAAGAAATCTATGGCATAAGATAGAGGAAGAACAGCTGGAAGAACATACCGTGTTCATGGATTGGTAGAATCGACATCATCAAATGTCCATACTACCCAAAGCAATCTATAGATTCAATGCACTCCACATTAAAATACCAACAGCATATTTCACAGATCTAGAAAGAATGCTCCAAAAATTCATCTGGATAAAAAACAAACAAAAAAACCCGAATAGCTGCTGCGATCCTGAGAAAGAAGAACAAAGTAGGAGGGATCTCAATACCAGATATCAAGCTGTATTACAAAGCCACTGTTCTCAAAACTGCCTGGCACCGGCACAAGAACAGACATATAGACCAATGGAACAGAATAAAGAACTCAGAAATCGACCCAAACCACTATGCTCAACTAATATTTGACAAAGTAGGCAAGAACATACAATGAAGTCAAGACAGTCTCTTCAATAAATGGTGCTGGGAAATGTGGTCAGACACATGCAAAAAAAAAAAATGAAACTATTCTTTTATCTGTAGAATTTAAATAGTATCCTAGGTCTGAAGCTTGGGGGATGCCTTGTTAGCAGCTTGGGAAAGGTAAAGGAATTATAGAATGATGAGACAGAGCATAATTTATGGAAAAATCACATGTAAGTTTCTATGATTTTACCTAATCTTAATTTACCCTTCCCCACTTCTAATTATCTTTCCTAATTTAATTTAGAATATTTAATACTACTTCTCCTTTATACTTTTTTACTTACTGGGTGAAAATAAATCTATAAAAGGTCTTTTTTTTTTAAAGCCTTTTATTCAAAGCCTCAATTTCATAGTCTTAGTATAAAAATTTAATGATCATTGCCCAGTCTTTTTCAGAATTTTTGCCCCAATGACACTTTAAAATGCCCTTTCTCATGTTATTTTTGTCTCCTCTTTATTTTTTCAGGGTCAGGTTAAATCTCATTTCATTTAAGTCTCCCATAATCACTTAGGTACATACTTTGAATTTTCTTGCTTATTGTCTCTATAACTCACCTCCAACTTTTATAAATGTCTCTCAATAGAGTAAACGCTCATTGATAATAGCCACTATTTGATTAATTTCTTTTTTTTTTAAATCTGGGTATGTCACAAGTTGTATACCCTTGGCATATCTGAAGTAGGAATAAAAACCTACCCTTGTGGTCGTTACGAAGGAAAAGAGCATGCAGAGCACCTGGCAGGAGAGCACATGAGAGTGTCTATAGCAAGTGCCAAGATCTCTAAATATTAGGAGGCAGCTGGTATTAAGTGTAAGAAGCGGGTAGAGGAGGTTATTGTCCAAAGAAGAGATAAGATAATTTGCAAAAGTGAAAGAAATCAATTCATGGTTTCAAAATTTAAACCACTAGGGATTAATCATTAAACTATTTATTGAGTGCTTGTTGTTGGCAGAGCACTGGGTGATGTTCTGTGGACTAGGTGAACATATCTATAAGGCAGTCCCTACCTTCAAAGAGTTAGTAGTCAAATGCTAAGTGTGCTTAAAGACCAAAGGGGTGAGTCTGAAGAGGGTAAATTGTGGATGTGCAAGCAGAGGTTTTCATTTAAGTTCAGCAAGAGTTTGAAATAAAAGGTTTAAGACTGACTCTTTATTGGGTGGTATTCAGATCTATAATACTAGACATTTTTCTTCTAAGAAAAGTTTTGCACTTAAATAACCACATATTTGAAATACTACACCTTTGTTTGATGTCCTATAAGAATCACCAGAATGAAAAATAATACACTGCATCCTGAGAAATATTACAGGACCACATTATGATTTTTCTTTATGCTTAGTGACCTTTTATGTCATTTCATGACACCTACTTTTTTTAAAAGTCAAAATTATACTATTCAATGTACTAAATGTGTAAGTGGATCAAGACATTTTCCTCATGCAAAATGATTGGAAGCTATTAAAATTAATCTTAATGGGAAGTGGGAACATATAGCCTGGATTGAGACATTTTTGTGCTTTATGATTCTTCCCCCCTATTCTTTTAACTGAGGCCAAAATCCACTGTGCTGTTTTCTTGTCTTAGTCAATTAGGGTGTCCTCCCCCCAACCCTCCTACACAAAACATCAGGATAATGCTTTCAGTTTCCTCTTTCCTAACCTTCACTCAACTTTCACTCCTCTCTACATTTGCTATAATCCTAGGAACTATGTTTTTTATGAAAAGCAAATACCTCTATTATTCTCAATGTTTTTCTAGTATTTTTCTACTTCCTTGCCTTACCTCATTGATACCCTTTCAAACCTTGGGTTCTGGAAAGGCAGCTTTGTTCTTTTTGCTGCCTTTTCCAACATTGCTATTCCTTTATCCTTTTCATTTTTTTTTTTTAAATCTCTGCTCCCTTAAAATTTCTGTCTTTTTGCTTGAATCAACCTTTCATTAGTCCTCACTGCCCTCATCTACTGGCCACTTTTTCTTATACACTGAAGACCTTGGCAGCAGGTTTACCGTTTTTTTTCTCCATCCTAAACTCTTCACAACCGTAGCTTGCTTGTGCATTGCTGTGGAAAAACCAGGTCTGACACCTGGGCTTTCAGTTCCTTGGCTCCCTCACTTCCAGTGACCTTCACCTCTCATCAGCAACTCACTACTGCCCCTCCTTCAGAATTGCTAGTTCACACGTTTTATTCTGGCCACAACTGCCTGGTTGTGCTCATGTCTTACTTTCTCCCAGTGCATCAGTACTCGTATATATATATATTTTTAATATAGTTTAGAGTTTATTTTTTTTTAAATATATTTTATTGATTTTCTACAGAGAGGAAGGGAGAGGGATAGAGAGAGTCAGAAACATCGATGAGAGAGAAACATCGATCAGCTGCCTCCTGCACACCCCCCACTGGCGATGTGCCCGCAACTACGGTACATGCCCTTGACCGGAATCGAACCCGCGACCCTCCAGTCCGCAGGCCGACGCTCTATCCCCTGAGCCAAACCGGCCAGGGCTAGAGTTTATTATTTACTAGAGGCCCGATTCATGAAATTCATGCAAGGGACTCAGCACCCGCAGCCTCGGTGACCACCTCTGCCTCAGCCCCTGCCGCCATGGCTTTATCCAGAAGGTCGTCTGGAAGGATGTCTGATCTAATTAGCATATTACGCTTTTATTATTATAGATAATTTCAGCCCTCCCCCTTTTGCCAATACTTTCAACTACCTTCTTTTTCTGCTCTCTTTTTGCATCTGTTGGGTAGAAACTTAACTTGGAATGAAGCATTTAATAATGTCCTGTCTGCCTGTTCCTGAACTGTACATTGCTAGAGAAAGTCACAGAGAAAGGCAGATTGATTCCCTCACAAATTCATTATTACAAGTCTTAAGTAGGCTCTCAATATTATCCAACAATTCTCCTAATTTTTTAATATTCAAATCATTCTCCTTTGTGCAATGATTGTTGAAAACTTGATTTGCTTCACCAGGCTTTTTACTTTCCTCATTCACCCTCAGTATCAGCAGGCAACTGACTGCTTGCTATTTCTCCAGTGTCGCAGTTTCTGTAGTCTTATGTGGACCCAATCCTGACAGGACTCTTGTTGAAAATTATAAAGTTACATTCTAAGTAATTCCATGAATTCCGTGTCTGGGTGTGTATTTAAAGGATCAAATATCCATTAAGTCTTACTTTGATGTAGCTCATAATTTATCCTACTCCATGTTCTTAATTCACTTTTTCTACAATGACCTTTCCCCCATATTTATAGATAGCAGATGTCTTACTAAGTTTATTGTGTGCAAGTAAAATAAATGCAGTGTTCAGCACAATTCAGCAGACTGTCAGCTTTTTCATCAGTTTATAGGTATCACAGGATTAAAAATAGTTTAGACATCTGCTAACTGACCAAACAGTTTTAGTATTGTGAAAGGGTGTGGTGGGAGAGGGAGATAGAGGGTCTATGTGTATTGTCAGAGCAAGGTGCATGCAGAAACCACCTCGTGACCTCTTAATACTGAAACTAAAGAGTCAATTCAAAATTAGGAAGAGATTTGGTGGAGGTTAAGCCCAACAAAGGCCTGATATAGGGGATTTTCCAAAATAGGGTGTCAGAAGAATTTTTTTCAGCTTTTTAATATTTCACTAAAATGTTTTAGAGAAAAGAATGTGTTTATAAAGACGTGAATTCTATGAAATGTAATTTTCATTATATATTTATTTAATATATATGTTTCTAGAAATGAACTTCTAATTAATTAAACCTCTGTATTTTACTCTTTAATTAGGAAAATCAATAGATTCCCAGTCATCACGAAGTGAATGTGATATTGTGCCAAAAGTTGCTAAAATGACTGTATCTGGAAAGAAGCAAACCATGGGATTTGAAGTGCCTGGGTAAGATTTATAAACCTCCCACCTCCTTTTTTGAAATTAGTTTGTGTCCAGTTAGACTGTCAGAAAATGTATCATTAACATTGAGCTATCCACAATCTTCAGTATGTCATAGAACAGAAGAAGGGGATGAGAAATTAGACTTAATTCTAGACTTACCCATGTATGTAACATAATCTGTCTCACTATCAATTTCCTTATTTAAATTAAATTATTTATAGCTACTTTAAAAACATGATTTTGTGAAATCTAACACTGTTGAGATAGGGATAGTGACTCCTTGTGCCACTAGATGGCGTAGGTAAGTAGCATTAGGGAATTACTTGTAGGGGGTGGGCAAACGTAGGTTTACAGTTGCAATACAAATAAATAATGCAATAATTAATAATATAAGAATAAACTCTATTTCACATACTCATAATGGTTTTAGAGCTAGCTCTGGGCATTCAGGTAAATGTTTGCAAATTTTAGTCTAAATTTGATTTCACTTAATTTAGCCTATTGGAATTCTTTACAGGATGGGAGCATTTTTCACATTAGTAAAATTTTTTCTGTGTAGTTCAAGATGAAACTAGTTTAAGCATTATTAAAAAAATGAACACCAAAATTGGCTATTGGAGGTTTTGCAAAGCACAATAAAATGGGAATGGATATGAGGTATTTAACAAAGTTGTAGATATGACAATCTGTTTCTTTCCTGAAGTATAGGATTAAGTGTGAAGCATATAAAAATACCCCGAGAGGGAAACGTGACTTGCAATTTAACCTACTCTTTGTCCTAATTCTATTATCTATAGTCAATGATGGCAATGTAAGGCATATCACAGTCTGGCGGGTTAAGTCACATTCTTTATAGCTATCTACATGATAGCACTGCTATAGTTTCTATGGAGAGTAGTCAAAGAGGCATCTTCATTGTCAAGGAGAGAATACTTTAAACTAGGTGGTCTTGTTTCTACTTTATGTATCTGAGCTCCTTGCTAGATTCTAAGCTTCTGAGAGTATTAGATAACTCCCTCATTTCTATATCATCTTTTACACTTGATCTTAGCCAAAAGGCCGAGAAGCGATTCTATATCATCTTTTAAACATCAGTGCCTAGTATGTGTTGTCATTTTTAGTAAATCAATCAAGTACTTTTTGAATTAATGAATTGAGACTCCTTTGCCAAAAGTATTAAGAATATGTAGACACTTAAAGATAGCTTCCTTAAAGACAATTTGAGCAAAAGAGATTGTAAGTCCTCTCCCTTGTTAGAACAATAAGTTAGGGATAAAACTCCTTTTTTACTACTAATTTATCTCCAGGAACACATTTTGTGTCAGTCTTTTTAAAATGCTCCCTTTATGCCATCTGTTTTGATAGGATTATATGGCTAAGACTATGGGCTTAATTAGAATTTGAATTTCAGTTATTTTACAGGATGTTTTCTTCTTATAGTTTTAGTAGACTTTTTCTTCTGAGATCTTCCAAGTCTGTATTTGTGTGGTTTGGGTCTAGCTACTTATCATTTCTACCTTAATAGACTCTAACCACTTAGCAGAGGTCATTTTTTGGTTTGCAAGTGTAAGGAAGATGAAGAGAGGACTTCTCTGCCCTTCTGACATTATAGGACACCTGTCGAGTTGGTTTTAACACTCTTTTCCTATCTCTGCTTTCTTTAGAGTAACTGCTGAAGAAAATGGTCATGGTCTCCACACACCTCAAAAAGGACACCCTAGTGAAGACACCAGCATGGCTTCTTCTGATGTTCTAGATTCTGTTTCTAAATCAGCTGTTCCATCCCACACCATTCAAGCATCAGAGGAACAGAGTTCAACACAAACACCAGTGAGAAAGTCTGGCAAGCTGAGGCAGCAGATAGATGTCAAAGCAGAGCTGGAGAAGCGGCAAGGAGGGAAGCAACTCCTCAACTTAGTGGTCATTGGTAATGTCCTTTGCCCCACTGGACTGTCAGTCAACTCTGCCTCAGCCTCACAGCTTTCTGGCTGCAGCATGGGAACTTGTTCCACTCTGCTTCTCTCTGTGGGTGTAATGGACATGAAGCAAGGGGGCATTGCATCATAATGCTTTCTGGTCACCCAGGGTGAAATAATGCCAACTCCAAGGTCGTTAGACGTCACTGTGACCTTTTCATTTGTGACCATTTTGAAAATGGCATGTCTTGCTGACAATTTTAATTTCCAAAAATCAGGGAAATTCCCTTTCTCTCTAAAAAGACAGGCTCTTTTCCCTCCATTTAGTTGTTTTAAATATCATTTAATAAAAATTGGTATTTATTACTCTAGACACTGCTGTGAACTATTGAGTTCCATGTTCATGCAATGCCTCAATGTGAACAACATCTGGAAAATGTACCTAGTATTAATACTGAATCAATTTTCCTTAGGTCATGTTGATGCTGGGAAAAGTACTCTGATGGGCCATATGCTTTATCTTCTGGGTAATGTAAACAAAAGAACTATGCATAAGTATGAACAAGAGTCTAAAAAGGCTGGCAAAGCTTCGTTTGCATATGCATGGGTCTTGGATGAGACTGGAGAAGAAAGGGAAAGGTAGTCACTATATTTCAAAATTTTCAGTTTGAAATTATATTTTAATTAAGTATGTAAAATGTGTTGAATATGTGTGAAACACCATTAAATATTTTATATTTTAGACTATTTTTAGAAAGAAGATTTCAATTATTTGGGAGATATTTTTCCTGTAGTTTTCATTACTACATACACAATGAATCTACATGTTTTTTACTCTTCCAACTTTTATGAGAATAATTTAAAAGAATGTTTATTAAAACTTTTTTTTAAAAAGCAGTAAAAATACTTAGCTAATTATTCAGTGAGTGACATTTCTGTTGTTACTTCCCTAAGTATATGTGAAATCGCCTTGATTTTGAATTAAAACCATGAGTAAGAATTTTAATTTTATGTTAGATTATAAAGGAAAGGTAACTTTTTATAGTAAAATGTCTAGTAAATGCAAATGACCAGACTTAATTTACTTTTATACTTTTTGTACTGTGTTTCGTGAGACAAAAGTCAACAAGTGTCTAAACCTATCTCCTACCATATAGTTTTAATCAAGTCAGTTACTTCTTCTGTATCTGTTACTGTGTTCAGTGCTAATATTGGGGAGATTCCAGCAGGAGAATGCAGCTAGAAATACTTAATGTTTCTTTTGAAGCCTTTCAAAATGGTGATATACTGTATATCATGTTAGAATTGTAGGGGTGGGGGAGTCAGGGGCACCTTTGTGAGGAAAGAAAGAGAACCTTTATAATTAAGTGAAATCGCAGATGTGTCAGCTGTCTCAAAATAATTACTCTAAAGACCTGAAGTCCTCTGAAAGTCCTGAATCAGCAATGGTTATTCTCTGTGCCTGTGTCTTCATTCTGAATGTGAATAGAGAATATATTTGGATTTTCATGCTTTTTAAAAATGTGTATTTTTTCTTGGAGTCTTGGATAGTCTACATTATAATATATAAGGTAATTCACAATAGAGGGGATCTTAATATTCCTTAGCTCTTTTGATAAATAGGAATTTATGTTACAGTGTTTTTTTTTCTCTTATTAGGTGTCCCCTTTATTCTACATACAGTATCACATACTTGTTTTCCAACCTAGTAAGAAAAGTTAGTGGGACAGCTGCAATTTTTTAGAAAATTTATATTGGAAAACAGTGAAATTTATGTATGATATCAGAAGACTAAACAAATTTTTATCTACTAGTTTACTGTGCAGATTATTAAAGTATATGGTTTTTTTTGCTGTGTTACACCTATTAAGTACATAAACAGATTGAGGACACTATAAGTTAGAATGGCTTGTGTGAATTTTCTTAAGTGAGTTGAGCTGGGAAGTGACATAATAATCTCATTCCTAGAGTAGTCAATACTTGTAGTGGTTTTTAAAATAATACATCTGCTGGTTATCTGTCATATTTCTGCTGCTGCTAGTTCTCTATTATTCAGCATGATGCAATTTTTAGAATATTCCTTTATTCTGTAGCTAGGAGAAGCTTCCAGATACAGAATGGGAGTTTTAACTCGACAGTTTATGTTCCTTAATAACATTTCAAAAATAATATGTGTTGCTTATCCCAGCATGTTAAATATTTGTAAATCCTCCATTCTAATTGTGTGTTGAACAGAAATTAGTAAAGTGAGTGACATCTTTAGGCTTACAAATCCAGACCAGAGCTGAGTGAAGAGTATATGGTGGTCAAAGAAGTGTAGGGAGGATCTTGGAATAAGTCTTGGTTCATCACTAATCTAAAAGCAATTATTTGGGGTTTGTTAAAGAGAGTGAAGCATCATTTCAGAGGTTCAGATGGCCCATGGGTTCAGATTAAACTAGAATGGTTTGGGTAAGGAGACCCACAGTTCCCTTACTATTAGGGTGAACATGTATTTTATCATTATAATTGCTGGGATACTAAGTAGTAAAAGAGGGTGTTCACTCATTACTCTGGATTATCCTGGGCAAAACAGATGAAAAATTACCTAGTTCATTGCTCACCTGATTTCTCTTCTAAATTTCTAGAATGACTTAGCACCTTTGTAGACGCTCCGTAGACTTTCTTATAACCGGAACCTGTATTTGTGTGGCTATCAAGAGGCACTGTATTTGGTCTTTAAGAAGGATGAAATGGGATGTGAAACAAACTACTCTTCATCTTTCTTAATTTTTTTAAAAATGGGGCCTCTCCTTTGATACCTCCTGTTTTCTAATGTGTAACATACAGATGAAAGTTTCCTAACTTTGATTCTATAATTAGTGAAGCATAAACATAAGAAGGTGAGGAAAACTACCCACTGATAGTGGTCATTCTTCATTTTACCTTTTCTTCATTTTACTGTTCCTTTTTTGGAGAAGTCCACACATACCCTTCTTTGTTTCTACATTGCTTACCAAAAGAAAGAAAAAGAAAAATCTTTGCTGCATCCACAACTTTATTTTAAAGCTCTATGGGTGTAATTCTGTCGCAGCAGAAATTCTAGCCCAAATTGATAGCTTAATTTCTCAAAGTAATAGGCTATATAATAAAATCCCCATTATTACTTAAGATTTTAGACTGTCATTTAACTTATATTATGAAATAATTTAATCCATTACACTGATTATTTATATAGTGCATTCTAACCATTTTCGTTTTCTTTAAGGGGAGTAACAATGGATGTTGGTATGACAAAGTTTGAGACCACAACCAAAGTTATAACATTAATGGATGCTCCAGGCCATAAGGATTTCATTCCAAATATGATTACGGGAGCGGCCCAGGTACCAGATATTTCCTTAACAATAGTGCACTACATGTATATAAAATTTCCTGATGCTGAGGTTATAATTCTAGGGTTATAACTTTTAAAATATTTTAAAATTTTAACTTTTAAAAAATTAGAAAAAAATAGAGAAATATTTTTCATGATCTCTTTATCAGTACTTTATAAAACTTGTTCTAATTTATTAGAAAGAAACAAATGTGTAAAAGCTATAAATTTCTTTATAGTAAAAATAATGGTAAAAGTGCTTGATGAGATATACATTTTATTTATTAAAGTTGGAGTGACGATTTCAGCATCTGCCTTTTTGCTATATTTATATTCAAATTCTATATATTTATTGAAAGTGAATTTATGCAGAAATAATGAAGCTTGGGAGTTTTCCACGTATGGTTTATTTACATTCTTTATAGCGTTAATTTAAAAAACAATTAGTTTGTAACTTATATGTAACACTGCACATATAGGACATTGATTTCCTTTATAACAGATGATTATTGGAAAATATGGAGAGTTCAAAAATTTGCCTGTGCCATTTGACGAAAGTGTGACTTCTGTTTTAATTTTGTTTATGTTTTCCCTCCTTTACCTAGATATTTTAATAATTATATAGTCAAATATGAGAATTTTTAAATCTTTTATCATGATTCCCCTGCTGCATGCTGGTACTCTTTTAATTGAAAAATTGTAATCCATCTGTGTAATTCTTTTGTTTTATTTGCTTTGGTGTTTGGTGTCAGGTTGGAATCTGCCTTTCAGATCTGACCAATACACAGTTAGCTGAAAAATCTGCCCTTTGAATTAAAATTCTGTTGCATTATTTCTAGTTTTGATTGTTTTTTCTTCCTTAGGCAGATGTAGCTGTCTTAGTTGTAGATGCCAGCAGGGGAGAGTTTGAAGCTGGATTTGAGACTGGGGGACAAACGCGAGAACATGGCCTCTTGGTTCGTTCTCTTGGAGTAACACAGCTTGCAGTTGCAGTCAATAAAATGGATCAGGTATATAAAAGGTTTATGAGGATTTTAGATGCTAATTAAGATGTTATTCTGCCATATTGAGGACCTCAGATGTGACTAGTGTAAAAGTCCATTTGCCATTCTGAAAAAAGAAATTCATGATTCTGATATTAAATAAATGGTATATGAGTAATTTTAAGCAAAAACATGTCTTCTTATCTTCAAAATTAAAATATCTTAAATTTGTTTTTAGTTACAAAATAATACACATTTGTTTTAGTATAAATATTTTTTATTATATGCCTCTTCAAAAACTTGACAATATTTTTGTGCATGTTTCCAAGTAATGATAAGTTTTGTATAAAGAGATTGTTTTTATATTTTTATTCTAGTTTATTTTAAAGATACAATTTACTCAAACAGTCCCACACTTATGAATATTTCTAGTTTTGTGTGTATTCGTGTGTGTTTAGAAATAGTTTATTCTGTGGAGATTTCTGGCTTAAGGCCATATAAATTTTTAAGACTCATTGGACATGATTAAAACTCTTTTCAGAGAAGTTCTAGTTGCTTCCTTTTGACATAGTCACTTTCCCACATTTTATCAACACTGCTGATTTGAAAGGATTGTTTTCCAATTTGATAAATAAAACATATTTCTTTTCCTAACTTTTTAGTATTTACAATAATATGTAAATATACTTTGTATATTTATTGATCATTTATATTTTTTCTTTTGGAATTATTTATAAATTATTTTTGAATTTTTTTTCTTATCAGTTTGTACGCATTATTTATTAAAGATATTAATCTTTTATCTTGTCAGATATTTTTACCAATTTATTATTTTACTTCTCATTTTATTGGTGGTGTGCTTTTGACATATATTCAAATTTATAAATATTTCCTTTTAAGTATTTTCTTACCCTGGAATCAGATACTATTCACCTACATTTTTTACATAGTTTTTCTGTGATATCATTATCACATATACCTTTTATCTTTTCTCAGTATTTTAGTATGAAAAATTTCAAATGTAAACAAAAGTTGAAAGAATTTTAAAACAAACACCTATATTTTACCCATTACTATAGATTCTACTACTTGCTTGATCACATTTTTATCTATCTTTCCCTGTATCTATCTTAATGCATTTCATTTTTTAAAAAATATATTTTATTGATTTTTTACAGAGAGGAAGGGAGAGGGATAGAAAGCTAGAAACATCGATGAGAGAGAAACATCGATCAGCTGCCTCCTGCACATTCCCTACAGGGTATGTGCCCGCAACCAAGGTACATGCCCTTGACCAGAATCGAGCCTGGGACCCTTGAATCCACAGGCCACTGCTTTATCCGCTGAGCCAAACTGGTTAGGGCAATGCATTTCATTTTGATATGAATTTCCAAGTCACAGACATTGCTACCCTTACCTCTAAATACTACAGTATGCATAATGTTATCCAGAGTTCATATTACATATACATTTTTAGTCTGCTTGGCTTTGTTTTATTTCATCAGTTGGTCCAAACACAGTTTAATAAATTATCCACTTTTCTCCCCAAATTTGAAATCACTTTTGACATATACAAAAATGTCTGTGTGTGTTGGAATTTGTTTCTAGGCTTTCTGTTGTAGAAGCTACTTTTAGATCATATTAATAGTGAGATCTTATATTCTGAATTTTAATTTTAACCAGTTAACTGCCATGATATTTTGAATTTAGTTACAAAAGGTCTGCTGCTTGCATCTATAGATGCTTATGGTAGTTAACTGATTAAAAGATTTCATATTTAATAGATTTTTATTTCTAGTCTTGATTATTAACATTTTATTATGTAAATTTAAATTTTATATATAGCCTGGTCTGAATCATAGTTTTAAACCTAAATTGGATCTTTATCAGGTTAATTGGCAACAAGAAAGATTTCAAGAGATTACTGGAAAACTTGGGCACTTTCTTAAGCAAGCAGGTTTTAAGGTATGATAATTTTATATTTATTTATGTAGTTAATTTTCTTAAGTCTCATTTTATTATGAGAGAAAAAACTAATATGTTGGTATTCTTGTCTTGTTAAATGTCATAAATTCTTTTTGTTTTTATTTGCCCTGGTATCATGTATATATTACATTTTAGTTCTTTGGATTACTTCACCTTAAATTGCATATATTTTGTAAATTGGCTTGGATTTAATACAAGTAAAATACTTTTTTTCCACCTATTTAATTAGATGTATGGTTTAGGGCGATTACAGAGAAAAGTAGAAAGCAGTAGAGAGGAATTTCTCCAGCAAAAATGTGAAATATGTCTATGTTACTAGATAAAAATGCTTGCGTGTTTTGGAACATATTTGTAAATTTCACACAAAATCAAAAAAGTTGAAAATGTTGGAAGAGATCAGGATTGTAGTACTATGATTTCTATTACTTTTTAAAAAGTACATTGTTGTTGCTTTTGCCAGCTTGGTGCAATTATGGTAATGGTGAACCTTTTAACTTTTTAGAAACAATGTTGTATTAAGTTTCATATATTCAATCTTTTTTAATAGGAAAGTGATGTTGCTTTTATCCCTACAAGTGGTCTCAGTGGTGAAAATCTAATCACTAGATCCCAGTCAAGTGAACTTACAAGATGGTATAAAGGACTATGTTTACTAGAACAAATTGGTAAGAATATTGCCTTGCTAATTTTGATGCAATATAAACTTGCTATTAATTATTGTTTAGAGTTCTTTATGCTAGACAGTGGTGTGTGTGCAAAACCATAGGATTTGTACTTAGAGGGGCTGCGTTACCAGGTTTGAAATCACATGCAATATTTAAACTAATGCTCACTTTTCCTTATTGAATTAATGAGGCTAATACCTACCCTACCCACCTCACAAACTGTTGTTGACATTAAATGATTTAATATGTGTGAAAACATTGTATAAACTACAAAGTATTATATGAATGACAGTCAATTTGCTATTAATTTTTATATTTAATAATTATTTTCTAAGAGAGATGGGTCTTAATGGGATCTTAGGACATTAGTCAAAAATTACTTTTAAATTAAACCTAGCTTTTTTGCCATTTTTTCCAGATTCCTTCAAACCTCCTCAACGATCTATCGATAAGCCTTTTAGATTATGTGTATCTGATGTTTTCAAAGGTAAGTGCTACCTCTGCATTACTATTGCAGTATGACCCTTGCCTTTCTGTTATCTCCTGACCTCTTTTCTTGGACAAAATTATTATATTGTCTTTCAGATTCTCCCTTCTTTATGCCAATGTGAGGATCACTGCCAAATTTAAAAGGCACAGTACTAGTTACTTAACTCCCCTGCCCAGAAAAATCTTCAATTTACTCACTATTTCCCCGTCTCATATTTATTTTTCAGGTATGAAAAAACTTTATCCTTTATCTTTCTAGCCTCATAGTTTTTTCTCACAGGAGATCCCCTTAGCTTCTGTATTCTTCTATCAAACTGGATTGTTCACTATTTCTTAACCACATTGGAGGGTCCCTGTTGCCACAGTGCCTACCCATGGTTTGTTCTCTCTCTTTATTCATTTCCTATCTATCTGTAGGTGTTTGGATTCAATCAAGAGACACCAACCACATATAGGTAAAATGGGAAGTTCAATATATTAGTAAAGGATTGTTAATGTGATAAAACACTGATATAAGATATAAGGAAACTATGTGGTACCCTAGGGCTGAGGGAAAGTACCCAAACACAGAAGGGTACAGACATTGCTGGAGGAGGTGGTGTATTGAATACCTAAGAATACATCTCACGTAATGAGTGTAAGACCCTATTCTATATAATAAAAGCCTAATATGCTAAGTGTCCAGTCTGTCCGGTCAGCCATTCAACCAATCAAAGCATAATATGCTAATGATATGCTAAGGCTGCTCAACTGCTCACTATGATGTGCACTGACCACCAGGGGGCAGACGCTCAACACAGGAGCTGACCCCTGGAAGTCAGTGCACTCCCATGGAGGGAGCGCTGCTCAGCTAGAAGCCGGGCTCACGGCTAGCGAGCACAGCAGTGGTAGTGGGAGCCTCTCCTGCCTCCATGGCAGTGCTAAGGATGTCCAACTGTCATCAGTCAGACATCCCTCGAGGGCTCCTGGACTGCGAGAGGGCACAGGCCGGGCTGAGGTTTGTGCACCGGGCCTCTAGTATAGAAATATATAAGATGGAAATGGAATAAACAATCTCAGTAAGCAGAAGGATGTAACATATTTATATATTAGAAAAATCAATACAGTAAAAATGTCACTGTCCTCCATATCTTCATTATTCACAGAGCAGGCAGTAAAGTGGATTTGGAACTGAGAAGCAGTAAATTGATGACTGGCAAGTTCACCAAACACATCCTCTGAGGTGTTTGTCTGTGTTCTCTGTATCCTCTGTCATTGTATTTCTCATAAGTGTCTGAGTGCTATTTCACTTAGGTTGTGAACTTCCTGAGGGCAAGGACTGTCTGTTCTCTATCTGCATCTGCAGGACCAGGCTCAGTGCCTGGCACCTAATACATGCTAATGTTTAACAGTGAATGAGTGAAGGTGTCTCACAAAATCATTTTAACCGTTTGTACGCCACAAGTATCGGCGCAAGTGGCGGACCTTTTTTAATTAAATTCAAAATATCGTGGCAGTTAACTGGTTAAAAGCTGAAATTTATTATTGTTATTAGTTTCTAGCATTCTGGTAGTAGAAGAGGGTAATGCTTCCCAAATTACTGTTATCTATTTAAAATACAAGAGGTGCTTAAGTTTCTTTTTTGATTAACAATGTTTGCTGACTCTATTTTTTCATCTCCTGTTCTGTCTTCAGGCTACTTCCTGGCTTCTGCCTACACTGCTCCCCTCAGTATGTTCCTACCAAATGATCGCTTGGTTGCCCAAGTCAATAACATGTTTCAGTTTTATTTTCCTTCCATCTTCCTTGAATTTGGTGTTACTTCTGAGAGCAGTAGCCACATCTACCTTAAAACTTTTCTCCCTTGGTTTCTGTGACCCACTTTCTCCTGCTCTCCTTTCTATGTCTTTGACCTCTCTGTATCTTCTTTGTGCTCCTCTTCCTCTCTCTCTTAACTAGTGATCTATTGTGTCAATCCTCTTACTGTACATGATCCTTTTGTACAGACATGCATGAGTTCATCTGCCTCCAGTGTGTTGATGCTTCCCAGATCTGTATCTCCAACCTATCTGTTCACATTCTCTAGGTAAATGTACTACCTGCTCCTGGACATCCCCATAGGGAATGTGCTCCCAGGGCTCCATTCTCATGGAATTTGGTGTGATTGGTGCCTCCTAGAATGCGTCTTCTCCACATGTATGTCTTGTAGACACTTCAGATTCACCAAGCCTAAAATGCATCTTATTGTTTGACTTCCTGTCCCACAGTTAATGCATTATCATCTCAGATAACTCCCTTTTTGTCATTATCCCCCATTTACCTTACCACCCTAAGTCTGTTATACCTTCTTCCCAAATTCTTGAGTTTCTACAGCCAGTGTGTGCATTTCAGTCAAACTTCTTTCCTCGCTGACATGAAAATGCCATCATGTCCCTTCTCTGTTCACAGTTCTTAACTGGCTCCCATTGCTTAACTGAGGATGAAATTCAAGCCCTAAGCGTGATTTACAGGGCCCCTTTATCATCTGTCCCTTGCCTACCTCTGTTACCTCATGTCTTGCCTTCCCTCATTTTTCATGTGGTCCCTGTAAATTCCATATAAATGACACTGGGTCTTAGCACATCCCACATGCGGTTGTAACTCTGTGCCTCTGCATATGAAGTTTCCTGGGTCAGTGGTGTTTTCCTGCTTCCCCTACCCATACACACAAGCTACCTGGTGATCTCCTGTTCCTTCTCCTTCTAAGTGCCCAGCTAAATTGTAATTGTTTCCCCTCAACATGGATTCTTCTGTGTAGCTTTTGCTGTTTCTAGGTGTTCGTTATAAATAACCTTTGTCTCTGGACAATGTAATTGTTTTTGTCTTTCTCTTCACTGGTGTAAACTCCTTATGGATAGGTGATTATATTTTCATCTCTTTATCCCCAGAGTGCCTGATACTTAGTAAATATTCAATATATATTTGAAGAAGAAATGAATTTCCATTTTTTGTAATATGAATATTTTTATTTGTAAGAAAATCAAGAGTAGAATGTGATTGCCATATTAGTCGATGTTAAAAATTCTGAGATGAACATTGATGTTCATTGAACTACAGTTGTATATAACTACTAGGGAACCAAATAGAGCTAATAGCATTAATCATCAGATAACATTGCTATGTGAATCATTATAAGCTTTGGGTATGTTTTGCAGATCAAGGATCTGGATTTTGTGTAACTGGGAAAATTGAGGCTGGTTATATCCAAACTGGTGACCGACTACTAGCAATGCCTCCTAATGAAACCTGTACTGCAAAAGGTATTCCTCTGCAAAGTTCTTCTGCTAAACAACCCTTAAGTTGAAACAGCAGATTTTTAAAAAGTAGTGCAATTATTTACTCCAGAGTAAATAACCTCTTACTGAAATTGTAACTGACTGTCAAAATGATACTAACTGTTGAAGATAAAAATGTGAAAACATTAAACGATTTTTTTCTGTTGTGACTGTGTGTGTATATATGTACCTATAGCATTCTAACTGTGGTAGCATTTTTTTTTTTTGATGCTGATGTGAGAAGTCTGTTTAGAATTTAACCAGATGTAGAGACACCTGACAGATACATTTAAAATAGTATTCAGTAGTAGAAATTAAATCCAACCTAACTGGGCACTAAACAGTCAGTGGCAAAGCAGACTGCTGCAGTCTGTTGTTTTGAAATGTGTATTTTAGAATCACTATATGGTAACAGCTTTGATCATGTTTATACCAAAAAAAAAAAAAATTATAGGAAGACCTAAGAAAATAAGATGTAAATGTAGAGAATCCTGATGTTGAAAAGAGAAATTAATTGTGAGCTAGTTTAAAGTACACCAATTATTGCTTTTGTACATAATCTAATATATGACCTTTCATGATGGCTGATAACTGTTCTCATCTTCTAATCATTTGACCTTACATGAGTACATTTATTCTTTTCTGAATTCTGCTTAAAAGTTTATAATGTTATACTTACCTTAAGATGAAATCTTTCAACTAAGCCTCGGACTTCAACTTAAAAATGAAGATCTGTTTATACTATGAAGTAATAGTATTTGTAACAATTTTAAACTAAAATGTAATCTACTGGGAATGTTAAAATTTTTTGAAATTTCAGTTCTTCTGCTTCTGTTAATCTTGTTTATAATTTATATCCAGAGTTGTACCTGAGTTGTTTATAAATTTGAATGTACATTGAAAAATATTAATTTGCTTATTACTTTAAAAGCTAATTTCTTGACAATTATAAGAAATTAATGACTATGTGTCTAGGTAATAGTGTTAAATCTACATTTAAAGATGAATAAGGGGATGAAAGATAAAATTATTTCCATTTTCTTTTTTTCTTTCTGCTTGCTTAGAGATCATGAAAATTCTGTTTAGATAAACAATAATACATATACATTTTTTAAAAAGTTTGCAAGTTCAGATCTCTTGTTTTTTAAAATGATCAAGAGCTACAATACTTTTGAAATACTGATTTATGTTAAGAAGCTTTTTTTGAGAATAGGAAGTGTTTGTTTTTTTTAATAACCAGTAAACATTAATTAAAACCATGTTTTTAAAATTATCCAGGGACCTTACAGTTTGACTACTTTGTGACAATTTGGTCACTTCTGAAAGTCCCACATTCTGTGCCTTACTCCTCCTTCCTGTCACTTCCCTTCCAGAAAAATTCTACCCATTTGTCTTTAATCCAGTGGTTCTTAAAGAGACACCATGTCAGAAGCCCCTGAAGAGTATAGCACCCTCTACTGAGAGCTGTGCTTCTACCCCAGCATGGAGGCTCTCTGTTCTCAATTTCTAACCCTGTTGCTTTGCTTCATTTATTTGGTTGTTTAATGCACACTTCTGTCTGAACACTTTAGGTCAGTGGTTCTCAACCTTGGCTGCACATTACAGTCACCTGAGAATCTTTTTTAAATCCTGATTTCTGGGCCTCATCCTCCAGAAATTCTGTTTCTTTGTTATGGGGTGGGACCACAACATTTTAGTAACAAAGAAACAGAATTTCCGGAGGATGAGGCCCAGAAATCAGGATTTTAAAAAGATTCCCAGGTGATTCTAATGTGCAGCCAAGGTTGAGAAACACTGCTTTAGGTGCTACTGTGGCTCATTACCCAGCTGTGTCCTAAAAGAGAGAAGTGACTAAATCTGCAACCAACATGTGGAAATTCTTAATTATGTTTTTACCTTAATAACATTATCAAGTGCATGGAGTGTTGAAAAATAACTTTTTGTGTGTAATGTCTGTCCAGTGAAGAAGGTCTTCAAGAAGATACATATCATATATAGGACAGTGTAACACGTTTGGGGCCAGAAAAATTAGATTATATATTATCTGTAGATATTTTATATTGTTAATTGAACTTCTGGTATGAATGCCCTTCGATCTTAAATTAAGGCAATCTCTAGTGTATGTTAAGTATGTAGCTCCTGTCTTCAATGCCACATTTCATAGCAAAATCAGATATGTTCATTTAAAATCTACATTTAAAGACTAAATTTAATTAGTTGAAAATTTAGCAAATATTCCTTAATATTAGAATTGCTAACAATTTTAGAATCAAGGACCTCTTTGATACCTTGATGAAAAGTATGGCTCTCAGAGTAATTCAGATGTGCACATAATTGAAATTTTGAATAAAAGTGTAAGTTGTCCCAGAATCCTTAAAACTCTCCTTGAATTTTCAAAAAGTCTTAAAGAAACTCGCATAAAAGTCTTAAAGAAACTCACATAAGTGTATGCTACATAGGAAAAATAAGTATTTTCAGAAATATGAAGGTAAATTATAATTTACTAAAAACATGTCATTTAAGAACTATTCCACAGTTGTTGCCCTTCATACTGTCTTCATCACATGACTAAAGTTCCAGTGGAAAGGAGCTTACCCCATAAATTTAACCTATGGAATCATAAAATATGATACTCCTTTTAAGTCTTTGAGTAAGGCAGCTGAGGATTGCCCTTATAGTTGTTCTCCAGGATAATCCCTAGGTAACAGAGGTATGTGCAGCACCTGGGATCATTTTTAAATTAAAATTTTTTACACTATTAATCTCTTTTTATATAACCAGTTATCACTGTGCATCTCTCTGTCTCTGGGCAGCCATTCTTTTGAGAAAGGAATTGGTGAAAGGGTCTGCCAAGAGCACGTCTGACTGAGCAATGATGCCCATGGGCTCCTGGGAGAACACCGGTGGTGGTTTAGGTGGTTGTCTAATTCAACGTAAACTGAAGACTGGACAGCTTCCCCAGTCCCATTTTTTATGTTACTAAAAGTAATTGGAGCTGTATTGTTATACCTACAGCCATTAATATAACAGAAATATTTGGGGCCTGTTTAATTAATATACTCAGTTGTGTAAATGAGTTTAAAATTCTTGATTGAAAAAGCAGAAATGAGCCTTTTATGGACAAATACAAGTCACTTTATGTTTAGGGTGGTTTGCCAGAGGAGTCAATGTAGAGGAAGTGCGTCTTCCTCAGCATGCACAGTTACTCTTCTCACTCTCGATCCATTCATATTGAAAATGATGAGTAGTGACTGATGAGGCACAATCAGCCAAACTCTCTTGGTTGTTATGGTTCGATATTGAGGTGTTTCACTGTATTCTTTGGTTCTTACTCATTTCCAGGAATCACTCTGCATGATGAACCTGTCGATTGGGCAGCAGCAGGCGATCATGTTAGTCTTACGTTGGTTGGGATGGATATCATCAAAATTAAGTGAGTGAGAAAATGAATTTAATCAACCATTGTTTTAGATATAGGACCTCAAAACACATACATTTTGCATTTGACTAGTTCAAATGAGAGAATGAGTATTAATTCTGAATCTCATTTGGCCAAAACCAGGCACTGTGAAAGTATAAGGATAATAAGCAAACCTACTTAAAATTGAAATCAATACATGTCAGCTCATGTACTTCTTTGAGTGAAAGCTGTTATGTGTGAAAATGATATAAGGTATAAAGCCAGACTTTGACCCAGAAGGGAATATTTAGAAAACGACCCTAATTTGCTTGCTTGTTTTACTTAGTAAATGATTGTAGAGGTAATCCTATTGGAAGTATGTTTATTTGTCCCCCAACTACCTTCTCTCCTTTTTTCTTGTTACAGTGTTGGCTGCATATTTTGTGGTCCCAAAGAACCCATTAAAGCTTGCACTCGATTCAGAGCCCGAATCCTTATCTTCAATATTGAAATTCCTATCACTAAAGGATTTCCTGTAAGTTTCAAAATGTTCAGTTGTTACTGTTTTTACAAATTCAAAGTCACTTTATCCTTAAAAGCAATAATTCTTTTTACAAGTGATAGCGCTATGGTTATTTTCAGCATACATCTTATTACTCTAATCCAGAAAAATATGAAATTAGAATTTGAAAGTCATTTTTATTTTACTTTTTATTTTGATCCTTGATCCTGAATATTTTCAAAGAGACATTGAGTAGATATTTCATAATCTATAGGATACAAACTGATGGTAATAATATAACTTATCTAGGGAAATGGGTAGATCCTTTTTTACTGTGTTCTAAAGGTTACCTGACTAACTGTAAATTGGGTTTTTCTGGGGGGTTTTTGTTTTAATATGCTTATTTGTAGTTTTTCTGATTATAAAAGTGATACATTGTTACAGAAAACTATGAAAAACACAAGAAAATAAACTTAGTAAGTTTGTTCTATAATTGCATAATCCATAAATATACTCGTATTCTCTTTACATTTCGGTGTGTTTTTCTGTGTACGTGCTGTCTACCCTTTGGTATTTATAGGTATATTCTGGGGTGCCTGCCATAGGGTAAACTTAATTGTGCTGAAGCAACACCTTGAGACTCTGCATGCTGTGAGTTTGGTTTGCCGGTTATCATTGACCAGCTTCATTTGAAACATACACTTTTATGGGAAGAGGGTGATTTTATGATATAATGTTATTTATCCAGAAAAGATACTGTTACTTGTGCGTAGCATGAATTCCTTGTCTTATGTGTAATTTTTTTTCAGATATTCAGGGCCATACTCTGTTTATAGGTTGGTAACTTGTTTTTGCCACTTAACAAATGAGCATTTTTCCCATTAGACTTTTTTTCTTGATCAGTTTATGTAGTACAGATTCTGCATGATAGTAAAAAAATGTTTCTCAGTGGAATTAAATGGCTTCCTTTTGAAAATATAAATAGTTCACCATTCGATGCATCTTTGCAGTAAAAGTAAGACAGTAATTGACCTTTAAACTTCATTTAAGTTAGTGATAGTACTTAAGGGGTTAAACATACATTTATTTATCTAATTTAAATTCATTTTATACTTACACTATTTGAGTCATGTGCTTTGCTGATAATTCTTTGTAATTCTATGTAAATTTGATCATATAAAATGTTTATAAGATAAACATGACTCAGAAGTTTTTTATTTTTATAATTATAGTCCATTTCTCCCATGAGCTAAAAAAGGGAGTAGGAGCTTCTCTCCAAAAAAACAACAAAAAACCTTTTATAGTTGAAAATATTTAATTTTTAAATATTCAAAATGCATGTATTGATAGTCAAGGAACTACAACTTAATTGCTATGTACAAATGGCACTAATTCTTAGAAAGCAGTATGTCCAGTGGAGAAGTTGGAGAGGTTGATTACTGCATGTTTTTACTCACGCAGCAATAATTTTCGCCAATGGAGAGGTACAGAGGTCAACAGGTCAATAGTTACTTTGAATAGTAATACTGTTTTCCTGTCTACTGTAGTTTCTTAAAAATAAGTATGAATTGAAAGTTTTTCAGTGCTGCTTAATGAGATTGCTCACCTATATTGATTCATGAATGCAGAATGAAACGTGTTTCAGAAAAGCAGTCACGTTTTGTCATTGTCCACTTCCTGTGGGAAGAAACCTTTCAAAATATAATTTTTAACCAAGAAAAGGCTTCCTAAGTAATTAAAATTTTACTATTTAGGGGCTTGTTTATTATTACTACATAAATACAAGGTGATGCAAAAGTAGGTTTACAGTTGTAAGTGAAATATAGTTTATTCTTGTATTAACCATTTTTAAGTGTTTAGTGGCATAAAGTACATTCATGTTTTTATGTATTCATCATCACCATCTATTTCAAGACCCTTTTTATTATCCCAAACTGAAACTCCATACCCACTGAACATTAACTCCCCTTTCTTGCCCCCATCCCCTGGTAATCACTATTCCACTTTCTGTCTCTGAATTTGACTATTCTAGGTACCTCATATAAATAGAATCAAATACTATTTGCCCTTTTGCACTTTGCTTATTTTACTTCACATGATGTTTTCACGCTTCATCCATATTATAGCATGTATCAAAATTTCAGTCATTTTTAAGGCTGAATGATATTCCATTTTATGTAAATGCTACATTTTGTTTATTTATTCATCTTTTGATTGTGCCCTTAACTCTTACCTCCTTCTTTGGGAAGTAACACTTCAATTTTCCTTTAAGAAATTTCCTTTTCTCATTGGCTTACTGTGCTACTTAATAGATTATGTAGCTCATTATAGTTTATTATAGTTTATTTCTTTCAATTTAATTCTTTCAACCCCACATGAAGTACAGAATCCTAAATCTTATATGAAACTCTTCAGGCTTCTGTTTTCTGAATATGCAAACTATTTTAGCCAGGAAATTTCAGAATAGAAGTGTCAGTGTTTCTTCAGGAAAATAGCATAAAATGGTACTTAAAACCACTTAAACGTTTAATAGCTTGGCCGCTTCCTGGGTATTGGATTTTTTCACTAACCTAAGCTATAGACCTAGTGTACACTCAGTCCTTACTATTTGAATGGAGGACAGCCTAATTCTGACTCCAGTTGACCTCAGCAAAAATTTGTCTCTGACACATGTCACCATAACCACATTAGGTTACTAAGCATTTTTGATATTAATTTTCTTATATAAAAAACATGAACAATAATAGCTAATATGTAAGGCTATTAATTAACTGAATGTTTACCATTTTAAAGTGGCTAGGCACTACTTTAAAATAGCATCTGATTTTCCTCATTTCAGTGATAAGGATCCTGAAGCTGGGCTCTTGGGGATAGAGTTGTTAAAGGACTTGTCACAAATTGTACAACTGGAAAGTGTGGAGTTAAGATTTGAACGCAGATCTGTCTGACTTCAAAGCCAGTCTAAACTCCCCTATAATATTTTATTCTCACTATCCAACGATGAATATATTAATTCCTGCTTAATGTCACATGATTCCCATTCCCTAATTTTTATGATGAAACAGTTCACATATGTTGAACACCTTTTGTACCAGTCACTGTCTCTGATCCTATTTAATTCTCATCTCACCCTATAAGGAAGGTTATGTAATTCACAATGACTGGTGGAGATGTTTGGACTGCCTCCATGACCTTTTTCCCCTAGTAAGTTGGGGAGCAAGCTAATTAGAATGGTGAGACTTAGAGGAGGCAACTGGAGATCCTAAAAACCCCAGGAAATGATGCTACATTTAATATAATTAAATGTGAGCAAGTAATAGGCCAGAGATGCTGTGGTAAGCAGTTATTCAGTGTTACAATGTTTTGTTTTAGGTGCTGTTACACTACCAGACTGTCAGTGAGCCTGCTGTTATTAAACGATTGATTAGCGTCTTGAACAAAAGCACGGGTGAGGTTACCAAGAAGAAGCCTAAGTAAGTCTTTTAATGCATAAATAATAAACACAAGCAACTTAAGCAAATTTCTTATAGTTTAATTTTTGTGTGTAATATTTTTAGGAGCAGTAAGTGAACTCTCTTTTTACTTGTTCCAGAAATCATTTTTTATGGACTAGATTAAAACAGACACAAAAATAAATATTTAAGCTCCTCTATAGGTATGAATGGTAGATGTAGTTTGTTCTGCATGGTGGTAATGGTGGGGTGTGATTGTAAGTAAAATGGAAATATAAATGTATATGTATGTATCAAGCAATGTAAAAGTAAAGGCATTTTTTAAAAAAAACAGTCCTACATTTTAAAAGATGAACTTGAATTTTGCCTAGCCACTGGTTCCAAATTCCAGCTGAGTGTTCTTAAGTTCCTTGTCTTCTCCTTACAGGGAGTCATTCCCTGTGCTAAGAACACCCAGGGAGAAAGCAAACTACACACACTGTAGCTCCTAGTTTTTTCTACGTGGAAAGTATTTTCCTTCTGCTCCGTGTCCACCTGGAACCTTAGCTGAGCTCATCACGTTGGTCCGCTCTGCTTACTGTTAATATCTCGGCCTAGTTGTGGACCATTCCCCTTTGGCTGGGAAAAGGCTAGCACTTTCAAAGGAAGTGCTTCCTGAGAAGCTTAAGTTTCTTACCCTAAATCAACTACAGGCTAACCACAGTTTGGCTTGGCTGCTTCAGCCTTGGGGTTTTCCTCCCTTCTTCTCTATGGGGAATCCCACCCAAAATCCCCTTTTTTTCTGTCCTTGAGTGTTCCTCCTCATCTGCACCTGTGTAAGAGGTCAAAGGTGGTTAGTGGGTTAATGGGTTGGCTGCAAGTGGAAGAGAGAATCTTCACCCTGCTCTAAACCATGCCCTTTTCTCTGTTAGTTATAAAGGGCTTCTTATCTTTTAAAGATCCTTCTTTATTTTTAACCTCAGCCTTTAGCTTCTGGCATGAGTGTCTTCCATAATGTGCTGAGAAATGTGCTAAGGACTAACATTTCTGGAGGACTACTGTTTCATAGGCTCTGTCATGAATGCTTTCACAGGTGTATATGCTCAGGAACCATATGAAGCAGGTACTATTATTTTCCCCTTTTTTAGATGAGGAAACTGAAGCTTAGAGAGGTTGTATCACATGTTCAAGGTCACAGAACTAGCAAATAGCAGAGCCAGGATTCTAACACAGTTGGTTGGCTCACATAAGTCACATCCTTTCTGACAGGAGCCAGGTTGTTTGACCGAGACCAGTGATTTGGAGAATTCTCAATCTGAAATTGGCTCATCAAATCTAATCCTGAATTCCCCGTCCTGCTTATCAGTCCAGCTCAGTGATAGTAGGTCTTAGTATATTCTCCTGTTAGTTTTCCCTGTCATCTTATTTATAACTTAGTCCTTTCCTTCTGTTTTGCACCAATGCCATTTGGCCTTTTCCTTTTTTTTCCACTAAAAGGCGCTTTGTAGACTCAATTGCTTTATATGGAATGGAATTGAACCTTCTAGAAACTAAGCGCAAATCATAAATGTATTGGATCTTCTCCTTCCTAAGGAATGAGACTTTGGCCTGAAATTGTCTAAAACCAATATTTGGAAATTTTGTAATACTTGTTTAGAAACCTGTTTAGCTTATTCTATCAGTCTGTCTCCGAACTAATTTTTCAGAAGATGAGTCTGTGATTGCTGTTCTCTTATCTTTCTAGAGCAGATCCAAATTAAAATAGGGGAAATTGTCAAAATGTCCCCTGTTGGGCTTCTTGTAGTAAATAGGGTGTTGTGTCCACGCATTTTTTTGATTTTTGTTGCTTTGCTTATCTCTGTGAACCTGTTTATAATCAGAGCCATGCCCCATCCCCTTCATTTCCTACAAACATCATATTATGGAAAAATCTTATGTGATTATGTCCTGAACCTTTGTTAAAGAACCGGTTTCTATGTTGGCACTAGGAGATGACCCTCTCTAAAAAGACAACTCAACACATAATTTATTAATTAGAATTTTACTAGGGAAAAGTTAGGGCATTGCATTCCTCTTTTAAAGTACAAGTGCCTCAATTTCTTGATTAGATAATTGAAACTCTGTTTCATGGGAATGACAGGGAAGGCTTTGGTAGAGGGGGCTTTGAGTATACTTTATGTTATAGCAGTGATGGCGAACCTTTTGAGCTTGGCGTGTCAGCATTTTGAAAAACCCTAACTTAACTCTGGTGCTGTGTCACATATAGAAATTTTTTGACATTTGCAACCATAGTAAAACAAAGACTTATATTTTTGATATTTATTTTATATATTTAATGGGCATCAGCAAATTAGGTTTTAGGACACAAAATATTTCCAAAAGTAAAAAAATGTATGTATAGTCCAGCCAGCATGGCTCAGTGGTTGAGCATCAACCTATGAACCAGGAGGTCACGGTTCAATTCCCGGTCCGGGCACATGCCAGGTTGCAGGCTTCATCCCAATGTGGGCCGTGCAGGAGGCAGTGGATCAATGATTCTCTCTCATCATAGATGCTACTCTTACTCTCTCCCTCTCCCTTCCTTTCTGAAATCATTCTGCTGTGATTTTTTTTCAACCCAGAAAAATTCAAAGGACACATTTTCATTTTAAGAAAAATTTATTTTCTTTTTTAAGTTTTGAAAGACTAAGTTGATTTGTTGATTGTGTATTTTTCAGGTTTATTACATTTATTCACCTCTATTGGATATTCATTTTTTCCTTTTTTCTCTTGATAGGTTGTTGACTAAAGGTCAGAATGCGTTGGTAGAGCTACAGACACAAAGACCAGTGGCTCTTGAGCTATACAAAGACTTTAAGGAACTGGGGAGATTCATGTTACGCTACAGTGGTTCTACAGTAGCTGCTGGTGTAGTCACTGAGGTATTGTAAAGTGACCGGTTGTGTGTCCATGGTTATGATGTTTTTTTCTACTTTTTAAAGGTGATTAATGAGATTTTATGGCTTAAGAGAAACACAGTTATGGTATTATAAAAAATTTTAAAATTCTTATTAAAAATTTTTTTTAAATGGGAAGAAATGTTTGGTCTTGGAATTTTCTACAGTGAGACTTCCAAACTATGTCCTCCATCAGTAACATTGCTCAAAATTAAAGGAAATTCATTGAAAAGTCTGTGAGTATGCAATCCAAATGATGAGAATACAGATTTTGAAAGTCATATAAGTTGGGGGCAGTAATTTCATTAATAGAAGAGCCCACATTAACATTTTTTCATTATATGACTGGCTTTCAGAACATTTGAAATGATTCATTCAAAAAGTTCAGTTACCATATTAGTAATGTTTCTGAAGCAAACCTGTTATATAATGTGAGGTGCAGCTGGGTTATAGAGAAAATAGCCAGAAATGAACCAGAAAATTTCAGTAATTTAAATTTTCTTCTACACTATCATGATCAATATAAGTCTTATGAATATTAGATTTTAAGGGGGGGGATTTACTCATTTATATAATTATTTTCTGCATGAAACTTATTCAAGTCATTTAATTGTATGTATACTTTGAACAGAGGGCTTTAGGTTGTATCAAAATCCAGTTACACGTGTCTCATGTAAAAGACTCTGGAGTTAAACTGCCCAAGTGTCTATTGCTGTTCCGTTGATTCCTAGCAGCATAAGCACAACATTTCTCCCTGGATTTATTCTTCTATAAAAATGGGTAATGGACTCTGCTTCTCGGAGCTGTGGATGTGAAATGAAATGATTAGTGGAATTGACACATATAAAGCATTCCATAAATGCTACCTCATGTCATTGTCAACAACATCACTTCTAATCTGCCAGAGCACTCTTTATAAAAGCGCTTTCTAAAAATAAGATGCATTCCCTTGTGGGAAATAATGGAGTGATTATAGTTAATCTCAGAAATAGCATGACTAGGAAAGGGAACAGTGGCAGGAAAAAGAAAAAAGATTCATCTTGATAAAATGATTTCACTGTCATTTGCCTTTTGTTGTTTGTTCTTTTAATATGATTGATTGAATTTTAGCAAATATGTTTTTCTCCTTTACAGATAAAAGAATGATGGGTCAGAACTTCTCCAGTGTTTCCAAATGCAAGGACATAACTAAGCTGTGTTTTTAAAGAATCCAGTTATTCAATTAAAGGAACAATGTGCAATTGGTATTTTTTTTAAAAACAGAGAGAAAATTAAAGCTATAATCAGCAGCAAAGAAGTATTGATTATCACTCCTGCAAAAATTTCAAGTTGCCAAACTAGCTTTCCCTTTGAAATGTTAGTAAATGGATATACTTTGCTAAGATTTACGGAAACTATCTGAAATACGTATTAAAAGAATTGAATCATCATGAAATGAACTCAACTTCCAGCCAAACTACAGAATGTTTACAGTTTCCTTTTGGTTTTCAACTCTACTGCATACATTTTGGAAAAATAACTAAATTGGGTGGTTGAGGTAGTTAATATTTGACCAGTGCAAATTTTTTTTGTTGTTAACTCTAAGGAAAGTTTTACTGAAGGTTATAATCTTAAAGGTATTTTGTGTGAGCATAAGAATATTCTTCCTATAACAAGTAAACTTTTGAAAGATTAGGTTGGAATTAGTGGAAACTCTTCCTTTGTTATCCAAACTATTATTTAAGGTGTAAAGCCAACTAATAAAATGTCTTAGTTTGAGCATAACAGCAAAATGTGTTTTGTTTCTTAAATGTATGTGAGATTCTTTACCACTATCACTAAATATGACTTTGGGGTTTTATGGGATTTTTTTTCTTTTTCTTTTGCAAAAAGTATGTTTTTATTGATTTTAGAGAGAGAGGAAGCAGAGGGGGAGAAAGAGAGAAACATCAATGTGAGAAGGATACATCGATCTGCTGCCTCCAGCACGCACACTACCATGGATCAAGCCTACAACCTGGGCATGTGCCCTGACTGGGAATCAAATCAGCAACCCTTTGGTACATAGGACAGTGCTCAAGCTAACTGAGCTACACTGGCCAGGGTTTACGGGATCTTTTTCACTTAGGAGTTTCCCAACTCTTTCATATGAATTCTTGCTTTTTATCTTAATAACAGACCAAATTTAGTCTCATCCAATTTTTAACCATAACTTAACTTTATTTTTCCTATTCTCATTTTTAGAACTACATACATGATAATTTTATCTTTATCTAGCATGCCTTATGGACTGTAAGTCCTTGTAAGAGTCATGTTTTTATTTTTATTTTAAATATATTTTATTGATTTCAGAGAGGAAGGGAGAGGGAGAGAAAGATAGAAACATCAATGATGAGAGGGAATCATTGGTCGGCTGCCTCCTGCACACCCCACACCGGAGATCCAACCTACAACCTAGGCATGTGCCCTGATCGGAATCGAATCGTGACCTCCT